GGCCGAATGGCCTCCTCTCGTTTGTATAGTTCTTATGTTCTTATGTTCTTATGTTCTTATAAACATTTAGTACAGTAGAACCTTGGAACTCGAATGCCTCTTAACTCAACCAACTCGAACATTGAACGGGTCTGTTGAATTTTGGATTAAATTAATTTACATTACATCTTATTGGGAAATTCGACTTGGACCTTGACCAAAATCGCAGCTCAACCAGCCTTCTGGAACAAATTAATTTTGTGTTCTAAGGTTGTAATGTTAAAGACTTGATCTTGCTGTGTTCCTAGGTTGACATTGTGAGTCAAGAAGAAAGTATCAACCATTTTCACAGGAAGTCTGCTGAGATACAGGAGCTTCTTCAAAGCAAGGAGCCACCTCTGGAGTTACAGGTTTATACTGATAATATGCCTTTGGTGCTGAGTGGGGAGAGCATAAGAAATGCCCTTCAAACCTGTTACATCCAAAAACGATGCCTCTCTTCTCCCAGGTGATAGAAACCCAGCTATGGAAGAAGTTGGAGCAAGTAAAGGAGCTTTTCTCTGAGAGCAGCGACGTCTTTCAGGACCTTATGGTGGTGAGGGAGAGGATCGCGGAGAGGATGGCAGAGTGCCAAGCGTCTTTGCGGGCAATCCAGTCTTCCCTTAGCATGCTCAATGCCACGGATGAGCTGCAGACACTCAGCCAGATACAGGTATCTACCTTCCACAGTTGTACCCTGTGATTAGTGGTGAGAGACACTGCAGTGATGTTGCTGGTGCCCTTCCAGGTGCTGTCCACGCAGCTGCGGACTCAGATGGAGCAAGCGGACGCCTTGCTGCAGGAGGTCAGCCTTATGGCCAGTGTGGCCAGCCCTCAAGCCTTGGAGGCCCTGGCAGCCGATGGAGTCCGGCTCAAAGAGAGCGTGCACGCCACCCAGGAGCTGATTGGTCATAAGAGGGAGCAGGTGGAGAAGGGCGTCCTCAAGGTCATCGATGGTAAGCATGCTTTTGTGCAGCATGTGCAAGAACCATTATGACTTTCCATTACATAATTAGTAGTTTTTATAACTTTGCCAAATTTTACATCAAAATTAGCCTCCAGGTGATCTCACAGTTCATAAAACAATTAAGGATGTAATTATTGTAGCTTTGTAATTAGTCATTAGAGTGAGTGGTGCAGATGCTGAAAAGACGCGCTTTGTCCATTCCAGACGAGTGTCAGGCCTTTGACCAGTGGTTCCAGGACCTGCAGCTGTCGGTGAATGAGTACTTTGAGAACCCGGAGCAGAGGCAGGACTTGGAGACATCTGTTGAGAAACTAGCTGTGAGTTGCTCATGGTTCTGAACAGGCCACATCTCAACCGGTATATTACAGTTGGCATATTTTGATAGTTGGATCTGAAGGTAAATGTTTTGAGGTGTGGTGTGTGTGTGGCACAGTGGCCTTGGCCTCTGGTGCCTGTGACTGTCACCAGTTCAAATCTCATTTTTGCTGGAATAGTTACATCTCCATTGGCCCTAGAGCAAGGCCCTTAACCCCCCAAAAAATGCATGCAGTGCTGTATAAATATACCTATATGCATACTTTTGCAAATGGCAAATAAAGCATAATTCTATTGTCATTGATATGAAGATGAATATTTCCCCTTTTTATATACCTGATTAATCCCTAATTTATATTTCAGGACTTCTTAGCTTACCAGGAGGGGGAGAAGAGACTCAACAGTCTGAAGGAGCAGGTCACTAGAGCGCAGGAACGGCTCCCCCGGGGACAGGCAGAGGAGCTCCGTTCCTGGTTGGAAGAGCAGGAGGAAGAGCTGGCTACGTTCCGAGCGCACTGTCAGGACCGACACAAGCAGCTGGAGACCTGTGTACATACACTCAACAGGTGTGCTCACGAGATAAAAATGGAAAGTGTCTTTAATATGATATTAGTGACACTTTTAAGAACCTTGGCTTTTCATAAAGGCAGCTTTCTGAGCCTTGGGTCTGATGTTCAGCTTGCAGGTAGAGTCAAGTCATCTCAGTGAATGGCTGCAGAGCAAGGAACACAAGTCAGCACAAGGCTGCGAACTTAGCCATCTGCAAGAGGAAGTAATTGGTCAAAGGTAATGGCAATAATGGTGATTACTGCTATTATTGTTATTCATGGTTGATAACCTGTAATGATGGTAATGCACATGGCTTTTTCCATGGTACAGTGGCTCTTTTGAGAACCTTGCAGACCTGGTTGAGTCTGTGCGGAGGCAGGGCCTGCGAGGTGACCGTCTGCTGAGGGACAGTAATGACCTGCTGAACCGGTACCACAGCCTGCAGACCAAGCTGCACAATCAAGTTGAGGCAGAAAATGCCCTGACAAAGGAGATCCAAGCCTTCCAAATTCTTGCTGATAGCACTCGATTCTGGATCAAAACCCTGCAGCAGCAAGTACATGACTTGAGCACAAACGGTGAACGTGACAAGGTCCAGACTGAGACGCGGCTACAGGAAGTCCAGGTACAGATGAATCTGTCCTCCTAAGCCATAGTACAGTATAGTCCTCCTACAAAAATGTGTCTTCAGAGGGTGTGGTGCCTTGTATTTTTGGCCATCTTGCCTTCTTTCACTGGGTCTTCTTCTTTAGAATCTCCTCAGTCTGAGGGCTGAAGGAGATGCCAGGCTGCAGGACCTGAGGAGCAGTGGGCAGGAGCTGTCAGAGCGGCAGGACTTGGAGGAGAGCAGGAGGACTGAAGTCCTGCAAATACTGCATGATGCTGAGCAGGAGTGGAAAGCAGTCATGCAGTCTGCAGAGGAATTGCATAGTCAAGTAGAGGCACAGAGAACCCTGGCCATAGAGAACCAGGCCTTCCAGACCCTGGCAGATGGAACTTTGGCCTGGATCAGAGACCTGCAGCAGCAAATGGAGCCTCTGGACAGAGGCAGTAAAGGCAACCAGCCAGAAATTGAGGAGCAACTGCAGAGAGTCCAGGTCAGGGCTCCTCCAGTCTTGGATAAGGACCAACCAATACTGTACATTGATTTGGTTTGATGAGAAACCTGTTTGCAAGAAACTCTTGTAGCTGAATTCTTTTTAACAGAAATTGTTCTTTAAGGTAACCTTGTACCTCTGGAACCTTCTTCTCTTCCTTTATCCTTGAGTGATTTTACATGACACTTTGAGGGTGAACATTCTTCCAGAACGTCTGACATGATATGGTCCTCTATAATAGTGTGCAGATTGGAGTGCATTGACCTTTCCTCATTTTTGGTTTACTCATGTGTCTTCACTGGGCCTCCCTCTTCAGGATCTCCTCAGCCTGAGGGCTGAAGGAGATACCAGACTGCAAGATCTGAGGAGCAGTGGGCAGGAGCTGTCAGAGCAACAGGACTTGGAGGAGAGCAGGAGGACTGAAGTCCTACAGATACTGGATGATGCAGACCAAGAGTGGAAAGCAGTCATGCAGTCTGCAGAGGAACTGCACAGCCATGTAGAGGCACAGAGAACCCTGGCTAAAGAGAACCAGGCTTTCCAGACGCTGGCAGACGGAACTTTGGCCTGGATCAGAGACCGGCAGCAGCAAATGGAGGCTCTGGACAGAGGCAGTAAGGGCAGCCAGGCAGAGATTGAGGAGCGACTGCAGAGACTCCAGGTGAGTGAGCCAGGAATTTATCAGAATTAATTTGAGTGTAAAATACCAA